TTTTGCTAGCGTTAATTAGTCGCGTGTTTTAATTGATCCTTGTTAAGTTATTATTTTTTGGAGTGTTTTTATAACAATAAGTCAAGTTTCTCCCTTGGGGTTTTTACTGTGGATCCAATTTGTATGCATCTCTGGGCGTATCTTCTTTTGTGAAATGTTAGTCATCAATAAATCAATTGTAACTTTATTTCAATTCGGATTTTAGAGTAGCATTTCTGCTAGTATCTCCGAAAGAGAAATAATAAATAAAATGAAATAAAAATAGAAATAATACAATTAAAATACATTTCATATAAACATCATGCAATTACACACACATGATATATACAACTATTTTTTAAAACTTAACTGCTTTTTACATCGTTTGAAAGTATTAAGATCAGTAGCGCTTCTTGTTGCATCTGACAGAGAGTTGCAGGTGGAAATAGCTAAGTATTGAAAAGTGTTAGGTCCAAAAGTAGTAGTTGCCACCTTAGGCACAATGAGCTTTTAATCCCCCTGGGATAATGCTTACTAATACGAACATGAAACAAAGAAGTTAACACTTGTAAAGGAGTGTGAGCATATCCTGGATCCTCGCGTCTCTTAAGGAAACAAAATCTAATTCTAATTCATTAAGCAGGAACGAATAATTGCTAGTAAAGTCATTAAATACTAATCGCATTGCTTGTATGTTAAGTAGTTCCAGTTTGTCACTACTGCGTACTCCACAACAATGACAGACGGCGCTGCAGTATTGAAAAAAAGGAAGTATGAAAGCTTTGTATAGCCGTGCTCTGACATCCTTAGAAACAAGGTGTTTAAAACGGCTCACCACTTGAAGTTGATTGTTTATTATTTTCCACGATGTGCTTCACAGGATGGCCATCCCTAAGTTGGCCTCTTGTCTTCTCAGAGCAAGAAATCAACGTGCTCAGGCTAGCGCCATGCGATGTGTACTTTAAAGGTTCGCAAGATCTTTAGAACTCTCAAATTCTAGCTTCCGTCTTAAGCCGTCTTGTTCAATTCTAATACGAGTATAACTTTGGTTGGGGTTTCTGAGGAATGAAAGGATTACAGGTGTCTGGAGATCTAATCCATTTTAGTTGGTGTTTTCCCCCTTCCTGGCAGTATAAAAGGCAGCAAAGTGGTTGGGGCAGGAGCGGTTTCCTCCCATAACTTCAACTTTTTGTCTAAAGAGAAGTCCTAAATGAAAATTCTGGACAATTTTCTGTGTTTTCTGTACAAAATCTGGCAAGTCTTTACATTTTTATATCACAACATCTAATGATAACCTTTTAATACTTGTAACCTTATGTATACCATAGTATCGTGATTAGGTTTAGTGTCCTTGAAGCAACATTACAACTACTGTTTATAAGACTGTCAAGATAAACGGTAACTTAAGTTTTCTAGCAATCCAGCAACAAAGGTAAGAAATAAAAACTTTTTTAAAAAAAAACAACAACAATTACCTACAATGTTGTCTTTTCGCCACTCGATCATGTTTACATCCATTTATTACGCTTATCAACGTGGATGAAAATGGGGATTGGGTATGACTCACAAGATATGTACACCAGAAGAAAAGTGTTTCCTTCATTTTTTAATTTACCAGTCAGGTTCATTCCATTTCTTAGTCTTCAAGGGTTATTAACGAGGATTTGTGCAAACGAATATCGTGCCAAGGCATGAACTTTATCGAGGTTTCAGATCAAATGCTTCCCAACTTTTCTGGTCTTTATCAGACCATTGCCCTAAGAAGCCAGTTGAAATATTGACAGTGCTGTGACTTGTACTATTTGCTTAGTATATGTCAATTTTCAGGAGAGTTTAAGTTAGCTTTTTTCTACAGACAACTTATACTCGAAAACCTTCAACAATATCCGCAATCCATTCGCATCATTTCATAACTTTCAAGCGAATCCAAGGAAGACGTAAGCAATAGTTTTAAATTTCCATGGCAAATAAATAAAATAAATTTAGTTTCGTTCCCAGATCAAATATCGATAGCTGTTGGTATTCTCCCTCTGAGATTATTACTCTGTTATGCTTGCAATGGCAAGACGGATCCACCTTTTATTTACGAATCTTGACCGTTTATTGAACAAATTGTAAATATTTTGATAGATAATAAATGTTTTTAAAATCATTAATTAGAATTACAATATTTTATAATGTAGTTTTTGTTTCTAGAAATTTGTACTGGTGTTGTAAATAATTGTATAATTCAGCCTTCAAGGTTCGAAGCGATTTAAAATAAACTATCTATCGATCTATCTAAAAATAAAACTTACATGACGGACAACAGTGGAAGATTGGAGAATAGCCCTATGGGCAGCTGCTGAATCTCGTTGTATCTAAGATTCCTGTTGGCGGAAAAATTGAAAAGAAAAAAAGAAAAAAGACCTCTTCAGTAACGTCTTCTGACTTGTTACTTTTAAAGGAGCTATATTCAGCCTTTGATATTTGAATTCTTATGATGGAGCTAAAGTTTTTTCCCACAACAAAAAAAGCCTTTACAGAATTAACTTTATTATTCATTCAAATATTTCGCCGTTTCTGAGCGAACGAAAAAAGAAATGGCGTTCTCAGCTATCCAAAGACGAAGTAGCTGAATTTCTAACTAAATCAACGGAATAAACGCAATATTACGCGAAACATATAGCTCGATTGATGTTATCCACATTTTATGGGGTATCTACAAGGGAAACTTCTGCTCGTGAAACCGTGGCGAAACCATGGGTAAACTTGTTTAGAACTTAGAAATATTTTGAATGAATAATAAAACAATTAATGAATTCGGCTTTCGTATAATATGAAGAATTCTGCAGATCTCGGAGGATGTTATCCACCTCGGCCTTCGAATTTCGGCCTCATTCGAAAACATCCTCCTCTCCTCGACTGAACTGCACAATTCTTCACATCCTACTCATCTCCAATCAATAATTGATATATAGCAATATCTCGATAACGCTTTTATAGATTTCGCTTAAACCTCACTAACATCGAGGCACCTAATGGAAAAAAATAGCTCTCGTAAACGATTTAGAAGAACGTTTCCCCCTGCGCCGAGAAATATGGCTGCGCTTAGAACTGAAAAGTATAAGCGCTATATAAATATATTATTATTATTATTATTATTATTATTGTTATTATGGCAGTACAAATGTCTGGATGGCCAGGGTAAAAAATAAAAGCTTTGGCAGGTAGGCAAATCGTAACCAGCCGCAGCATCGACTAAAATTTGTAATAACAATTACACAATAATTTGAGTAAAAAAAAACGTGGGTAAAAATGATTTGATAAAAGTGTCATTAAAAAAAATCCTACAAGCTTTACGGACGTCTTAATTATAAAATAACAATGTTCATAAGTTAAAAACCATCTTTCACATAGCTGTCCATTAAATTATGAGAACGTCTAAGATATGTCAATAACATTTCAATAATGTATAAGATTAAGTATGTGCTAAAATAAGTATCTAACCGCTCAGCTTGAACATTCTAGCAATATGTATAATGAACTAGATAAGATTGACTTTTGCATTTGGCGCATAATTGATTCACACTTGTCTCCTACAAGCTCTTGCATATTTTGCTCAAACTCTTTCGAACAGCCTCCAGGGACATCCATGATGATGTTACACTGATTGACCTTGTACTCAGGATATCGGTTCGTCAGCTCTAGTCTCAAATGACTGCACTTCGTTGTCTTCTCGAAATCTTTACACTCTATATTTTCCAGCCACGGAAAGCTCATTTCAATCACTCTGACTTGTGTGATGGTCTTGTCAATGATAGTGGCATCGATTCTATTAGCTTTTACTTGAGTTGTGTCAGCGAATAATGGGACCTACGAGAAGGCGGTTGCATGCTCATTCTCATACAGCGGCTTGGGTGTGACTTGAGAGAACCACGGTTCAACTTTAGTAATGAGATCTAAAGATCTAAGGACTTCAAAGAATAAGGTCTTGGAAGAATTGTTATGTCTCTGAGGGTACTTAGTCTGTGCCAGTGCACTACAGCCACATAGAATGTGCTCCACATTCTCCAGGTAATCCCCCCAAAGGCGGCATTTTTAATCAGTGACTTGTGATTTTGCTCTTCTGTTGTAGTAAACCTTGGTAGGCTACAGTTGTTGGTAAAGCTTTTGTACTCCAGCGATGGCATGCGTTGGGGCATTCTTCCATGAAGAAAACCACACAAAGCAATCCTCCAGTTTAGCTATCTCGTCGTCCCATCTGTTCTTTATAAGCTTCCCTTGCCATCTCTCCTCAGGGACCGTTGATTGTATCTCCTGCTGGCGGGCTTTGTAGATTGCCTGCTTTACACCTTTTGCTGTTCATTACGAGAAAATACGCTTTCATTTGCGTGAAACGGCGACCAATAGCGCGAAGATACATTCATTAGCGCGAAAAAGCGAACATTTGAGCATAAACCAGATTCAATAACGATTTTTACGTTTTTATCAACATTCAATACATTTTTGGGCATTCATTTGCGTCATTCGACATACAAAAGAGAAAAATATGCTTTCATTAACGCCAACATTCGAGTCGTTAACATTATCTTGAAAATCATTAGGGACAATAGACAAACATCTAAGTGTAAACGCTATTCATTAACATTTTTATGGCATTGTTTGCAATTCAATAGGATTCCTGGACAGCTTTAGAATGGATAAGACAAACAATGTGCTTGTACAATCAATTGAGCGTTCTTTACATTTAATATGCAAAAAACTATTTCATTTAAACAAGAGAAATTCATACAAATTTGGCCCGAATTTAATTTCGTTAAATGTATATCCCTAAAAAAACCTCGCTATTTAAACATTTTTGGGAGGTATGCGTAAATGTTCGTATTTTCGCGCTATTGGTCGCAGTTTTATGCAAATTATTGCGTATTTTCTCGTAATGGACAGCAAAAGGTGTACCTTCTTAGCTTCAACTTCTCTACCATCGCAACAGCAACTGGGTTTGTGAAGTTTAACCACAACTGTAGATTCAGCTCCTCTGCCTACTTCTTAGCATCTTTAATGATGGAGTGGCGTCCGCTTTGTACGGCTAGCTCTTCAAACGATCTTACGGCTGCCATCGTAGGGTCAGCGTTGCAATAAAGCTTTACAGCTGCTTTGATCTTATTGTTCTTGTATTCATTGTCCACGGACTTGAGACCTCTTCCACCGAGCATCCTAGACACGTAGAGTATCGCTGTCGATCCCTTGAGGTGATTTCCTCCATTCTTCACGATGATGTTTCTTCCCTCTTGGTCAAACTGTGAGATGCTTGCTATCGGCCACGTTTGTGTCCACATCAAGTATGTAAGTACTGGTAAAGCGTACTGATTGAACGCCAGTACCTTTGCATGATCTGACAATGGGCTGGACCAGATGATTGATAGCCTATGTAAGTATGTCTTTGCTGCGGCTTCCACTACTTGCTTATCCTCTTGCTTGGTGTTTTCGAAGACGCCAAGGAACTTATAGGTGTTATAGTGGTCCAGGCTCTCGATAGGTTTAAGATCAGCTATTTTCATATCTCCACTTCCTTGCTCGACTTGTCCCCTCTTCACGTGTATCACTGCACACTTCTTATTCCAATTCAAACCAGTGCTTTCCATTCCAATTTTTGTGACTGTCATGGCTCGTTTCAACTTGTTCTCAGAAGCAGCAAACTACTTCATGTCGTCTATGTATATTAGGTGAGTTATCTTAGTTGATATAGGCTTAGATAGCCTGTATCCCTCAGTCGCCCGCACATTCCATGCGATTGGATTCAAGCACAATATGAACAGCATAAGACAGAGCGTATCACCTTGCGGCAGTCCTTTCTTAAAACGTATATTGTAGGAGAGATCTCTTTGCCTTGGGTCGTTTGGGCAACAATTATAGTGTTCCAGCTGTTAGTAAGCTTCTCCATCACCTTAGCAAACCATATGGGGAACCTGTGTAGAGTAAACATTTCAGATAACCAACCATGATCAACAGAACCATACGCCTTAGCCACATCAATCCATGCCATGCTGAGATTTCACTTTCCTCTCTGAGCATCCTCACAAACCATCCGATCGATAAGTAAATTGTCAACCGCTCCACTGCAGTTGCCCCTTACACCACGATGCTCACGCTGGATTAATCCATAAGTTTCAACGTGTTGGTTAGCCTGGGTTAACAGGCATGAGGTGTACCACTTATACAAGTTATTCAGGCAGGTGAGGGAGCGTTGGTTGTCACTTCTGAACTCACTAGGTCTGGGGATAAGAGTTGTCTTGCCTTCCGAAAACCATAGGGAAACTGAAGATCTTCGAGTTGAGCAGTAGCCTGGAAACAAGTGGCTATATTCTTTATTGGCTATTTCTTTCTTATTTTTTTTCTTCTTATTATCATTATTGTTATTATTATTGTTATTATTATTCCTGCCAGTAAAGTAGGTAATGGTGTCATTTTGTCGAGGGCGACTGTAATTGGGAACCATTGTAATTGCCACTTACAGATTTGAAGTGGTCGTTGGAATGCATTTCAGAAGATCAACGGCTTTACTCTTGTAGGAGCAGTCACAATTGTTTACAACTCCCCAATACACAATCGAACTACTGTATGAGCATGGTGACTTGCAATCTGAAAAAAAAAGAAACCCAGATGATTCGATAACTTTAATTAAATAAGCTAAAGCTAGTTACAAGTTTTCCGCTGTCTATAAAACTTATTCCTTTCGTCTACGACGTCATAACATAGGCAAAATTGACCTCCTCGTTTAACTTTGTGGAATTACTGTTTTTTCAATTGTATTCTGACTATATACGTTCCACAAATTTGGTCCTCACCTTTCTTCCTTACTACGTTTCGAAAAGTTTGAAATAAGAGGGAACCGAGAACGGCAAATCTAGCCTCGACTGACCTGCCGCTTTGACCAAAAGAAGATAGACTATGTGGTTTACGTAATGTTTAAGACAAGTAAAGCGGTGTGTTTTAAACCATATTCAAAAACGTTCTCCCGCTCCCTAAGTAGATATGACCCTCACCCAAGGTGGCCGCTCGTAAAGTCCTCGAACTGGACAATTTTACCGAAAAATATGGGTGCATGAACAGTATAAATTTAAAGTTTAAAAGAATCTAGTTGGTTGGAATCCAAAATACATGAGGTAGCATCATGGAACGAATTCTAACCGTTTACCTACTTGTCCTTCCCACACTTTTCGCTTTTATGATACCTTTTATTGTTTAAATTGAATTGCCTTTTTTAAAAATAAGTCGACGTTAGACACATAATAAACCTCGTCCCCTCGTCACTTTCAACAGCCTTTATACGCTGGGTGAGACCCATATTCTCAGAGGAGGATCTGCATAATAAGGGCATGTAATTTTCATCAACCACTTGAAAACATACTTGATACCTTTCCCACGCGCTCAGCAAGGCAACTCGCACTTTCCAACAGCTCTAATGCAAGTTTTCGAGAAACTTTCTTATCTTATCGAAGATGGTTGCAAAGGTTTTGTTGCAATTTTGTCATATGCAACTTTAGGCAAGACATTGCACTGGGCCCTGATATCTAGTTTAAAGACGCCTTGGATACTTCCAAAAACGACAGTTTCAAGCCAGTCTTTGTCTTCTACATTGGCTGCCCCAATGAACATAACTTGGGAGTCAGAGTTACCATCATCAAGAGTATTTACCTACTTCTTTTGTCCATGTGAGAGCAAGGGAAGTTTTCCTTTATATTCCATGGACAAAACGTATTTGGTATGCACATAATAAAACCGGGTTAGCTTTTAGATTTCTTGCTTTTCCTTGTTGCCGTGCAAAGGCCAAAACGACTTCCGCCATCTGATGGCAGCATTAAGACATATTCACAGACCGAGAATAGAGACTTTTGAAGATCGCGCTGTTGTTGGGTGCTGTTGAAAACGCAAAGGGTAATAAGTAATACCACGGCATTTAGGTACCTCTAAACTACTCAACATCCACATATCATAATTGTTCGGAAAAAAATAAATCAACTAGGAGAAATCGAAGACACCCGACCAAGCCACCTGTTAAAGAAACGCGAAATAACCTAAATTATTAAAAACTGAATCATTGGATAATGCAATTCTAGCATTTTGATTGGCTTAGCCGTTATGGTATATGAGCTAATAAACCATGTTCTCCATATATGGTCGGTGTACGCGTCAGTTTAAAATTGGAAGCTAGCTGAGATTTTTTTTCGCGAAGGATAGAACGGCGCCCGAAGCAAATCGTTTTAATTCATTTCTTAGAATACTGGAAATGCAATTTCAACGAAAGAAAAAAGACAAAAACAAACAAAAAAGCCACAAGAGCTTGTTTGAAAGTTTGTCGAAAAACACATGAAAACACATGGAACTAAAGTACCTTGACCAGCTACGAAAGAAGACAAGTGTTGTCTCTTCATGATCGCGAAGCCATTCGCCGATCGAGTCACTCGCCGATAGATAACTGCAGCTTGTTTATCCGACATCAAGAATATAAATCACAAGTAACCAGCTACAAATACAGGCTATGCTGCCATTCACTAGACCAATCGAGGTGGCAGTATAGCTTCTTTTCTCGTTCAGCAAAACCAGCTTGTGGCTTCAAACAACTTCATAACAAGCGACCGAGGTAATACCGGTAGTTTTTCTCCGTTGTTCTTACTTTTATAACTGCACCGAAAATCCAAATTCATAGTAATTTCGACGGCTTTCACTTAAAAATTCCTTTCCTTCACATTATCTGCCAGGTTTTTTAAGCTGTTCTGCTGTGTAAAATCCTAGAATCACGATGAGTTTTTAAAAAACTAATGTTCATCGCACAATGTTTTGATTTTTCATTCATGCAGTCTAGGCGAGCCCGTTCGCGCGTTGACAGTTTTGATAGACGTGTGACATGTCAATAGCGGAAGTCCCTTGTCTTTTCCGGTTTGTTCTAGTCGGGGCGATTCAACGAGATTTTGTGGGCGTTTTTAATAAAACAATTTTTCCACTCGGACTTGTTGGATATGAAATGATTAAAGCCAACTCGGCGCTATGCGCCTCGTTGGCTATATCTATCATCTCATATCCAACGCGCCCTCGTGGAATAATTGTTAAATAACCTATAAAAATCACTGAAAGTATAGATAAAACACCCTTTACAGGAAAGATCTAAATTTTAACACAAGCCTACGAATAAGTTTCTGTAAAAAAGGCATCAGACTGCTTTTATACCTCAGTTGGCGGGATGTTTACAACATAATTTCAAAGGTCACACTTAAAGCAAGCCCAATTCGAATGTAAAAATTGCAAAAAAATAAGATGTTTGAAGCCGTCCACAAGTGGGTTTTAATGATTTTAACACCTTATCTATCACAGAACATCATTTTTCGTTCATTGATATTAATGAAGATATTTATTTAAGTGTTTTCACTTGCTTGTTCTACACGCAGATTCAATTTTCCCTCAAACAGGCTTGAAGTTCAATTAAAGAGTTTGACTTACTTTTTAGTAAGCCCGTTTTTAAGTTTGAATTTGTAAATTATTTTATGTATTGCAGGTATAAAAACTTTCTTGTCCCGGTTTAAAAAGCATTGCGGCATTTCATAAAGTCGAGTTGCCTCGAACAAACTAGGAAATGTAGGGACTTGGATCTGGACGCGGGAACCAGTTTTGTTACTACGGGCCAGTTAGCTGGTGAAGCGTGAACTGAATCACTTTCATGGTTGAAGTTTGCGCAGTCCTTTCTTTGTAGCGATATTACCGCCTTGCAAGAAACAAAGACCATGCGAGCTTTTGTTTATTCTTTCGTTTCCCAATATCTCACCTTCAGCAGTGCGTGCTTATGAGCGTAACCACACAAACTTAGAAGTCTTTAAAGGCCAGTAAATATTTTCTGCCATTGACTACAACAATAAGCATGTCGTTTAAACCTGATCAAATCTTACGATGCTTTTACAACTGGGGTTGAACAACAATCTCCTGTAAACTGCTTTGAGTTTTGTCAAAAAAGTTTGTCACGGTTACGCAGTTCAACGAAAACAGTTTCGAGTTAATATGTCATTATTTACTAAGTCGATAAGTAAGCTTTTACTCGTTCTATTCATTTCTCTAGTGAAGCGCATACACTTGGATTATTTGGATTATTAGGTTAATAATTTTAGTCGAGTGGTTTATAGATATTATTAAGTTCGCGGCACCAGCTAATGGCTTACTTCACAACTGAGTGGTTTTCAGTAGCGTGTTGTTATTTTTGACAGCGATTGCTATTCCTACTAGACTTAAAACAATAGCTCGCTGGTCTTAAGTAGGCTACGTTTCTACCAGACTTTTTCAAACTCGCAAGGATAGTGGTTCTCTTCCATAAAATTCAAAAGTTTAAACGTATTCTGCTTAATGAAAGACCAATCTAACATATACCATCCGTGGTTTAAAGTATTTTTTTGGTGGTTTCCGGAAAATCGCGCTCAAAGTCAGCTTCCATACAAAAAATGTCCGTTTTTGAGCAATTTTCAAGCGCAGAGGGATAATTCTTCTACTTCGTAAAACGCTTATTTCTTTTGCTTGAATCATTGATATATCATTCATTTTCAATATTCCGTCCGTGGTTTTTTTAATTTTAGGGCTAACGAAGTCGTGCGAATGAGTTTTA